GAACATGAACACCAGCCTCTTCCTTTTTTCCTCCCAATCATCCACTTGAAAGCAAACTTTTAATCTTATGCCACTTATCAGCAGTAACCATCTCATTTTTTATTAGGAGTTTGTGAACACGCATTCTGTTTATTATTAGCTTAACAAAAGCTCAAATGCATAGAGCTACAAACATCAGGCACCTCAACACACACTAGCACAGGACTCCCCTCAGTTTCAATCTTCTTTATGCTGTAGAGAAGCCAAGAGCACCAGGATTTGAGATTAATGGTGGAGATAACCCAGTAAGTATGAAGTCCCCAGCATGCCTTAACTTGCACTGTCCACTATCTTTACAGCTACTACTGGAAAGCAGAGCTCTCATACCATACTTACATTTCATTTAACTCTGGAACATCTAACATATACATCACAGGTTTAGAAGTCCTCTTGGCTTCCTTCTCACAAGCATATCAAATGTCTTAATGCAACACTGCCTAGGAGGTGGTTTGTGCATCTAGACTATACAGGATTTATATAAATAAGTAAGCAATTTTAAGTCCCTGAGTTACACATCACCTCCTTACCCCATTTCCCCAGAAGCCACAGCATGCTTTCTGGTTCACCAGTTAGCACTGTGCTTCTGTAACAGCACCCATGGGTGATCTCATGAGGCATGCCACGCTCCTGTGTCCAAGACAAGTTTCACTAGTTCTACCTGGAAGCAGGAATCAGGAGAGCACTTTCCGAGACCAGAGGTAAACAGCCTGCAGGTGTCTGGGCACAATCTCTCTATACCTCCCTTCAGAAGTTTGTTGTTGCTGATGCTTGCATTAAAAAGAAAGCAGTATTTCAGACTAAGCAAGGAACTTTTGCCAACTAGAAGCAATTTTCAACAAATCATGATGACAGAGTACCAAAAGCAGAACTTGTAAACATTAGTGACATAGTAATATTCAATTAACATGAACAACAGACAACTCACAATCCAGAAACAGCCTTTTGTCATGAAGTCTTTATGGCTTGACAGAAAGTTAAGATTTGTTTTTGAAATGGTTAGTGCAACTTTTTATTTGAGAGGTCAGCTATAAGAAGAGTTAAACAGATAAATCCAGTATGACACCTCAGCTTCCAAGCCATTTTTGAGCCTGATCTGAAATACAGCACTGGACTCTTACCTAGAGTCAAGGCATTTGTGATCTCAGAAATAAAAGCACAGTTATTTTCCCCCAGATGGGGATGATGGGGTTAAGTTCTTTACAGGATAATTTGTATTTCATATAAAACTGAGGAAGAAAAGCTTAGCAGCTAAACAGCATCAGAAGTGCAGCTGTGTGTTTGGCCAGTACCTCTGCTATCCACACATACAGCTTCATCTAACACATAATTCCTTTGGAAAAGTGAACGAAGGAAGGAGAAGTAGGCAGCCTCATTGAAGAGTGGGCAATGCAGCATTTGGAAACAGTTCTTTCTTGGAAATTCAGACTCCTACAAAGTAATCTTGGCCTTGAACACAAGGAGTGGCTTACTAACATCATACTCCCCAATACTATCTGAACTTAAGAGCCTCCCCCCTCCTGGTACTTCATACAAAGCAAGAAAGGATATCCAAGCTTCTATCCACAGCAAAAATGAGTGTCACTTTCCTTGTCAGCAATAATGGTGTTTAGGGAGAATCTGTACATAGTGTACACCCTTCTGAAATCAGAAGACAAGCTTCAAGACACTCACCATGTCTTCAACTTTCATCCAGGTTATCCATTCTCCGATTCAGGAGACGTCACTAAGTGCTGACACCACCGTTTCCTTATACTTATTGCTTTTACAAGCTATGTTCATTCCAAGGGCACCTAGTTCACAAGAGCATCTCTGCTCTTCCCATTCATTTATCTTCCAGTAACAAGGAACTCCCATTAACCCTAACGGAAGTCAACGTATGGGCACACAGGACATAACAGACCTTTTAAGGCTATATGGCTGACCAACAGATACAGAAAATGTATACGTGTAACTAAAATTTGCTTCCATTTATCAAAGGGTACTGAGTTTTAACCGAGACTCTTCAACCTGTTACCCTTACCTTCTCCCCTTAATTTATGGGAAAGACTCAGTGTGCTTCCCTAAGTAAAACAAGAAATAGATCACATCAAGTTTTTTCCATAGACCAGAAGGTAAAAAAAACCAAAAAAACAACAATAAAGGACAAACTGGTTCACAGTTAACTATAAATAAAAGTGCAATAAGTGTTCAAGTAGAGTGTGGACTTTAAGCAAGCTGTACAACCACATTTGGCATAGTCATCTTTTAAAGGCTCTGCGTGGGTCCCTCCCATTACTGACAGCAGGGAGATGAGGCTGAACACTATTAGCTGGTGCTGGATTTACAGGTCCTCGCCCATTGCCTCTCCCACTACCTGTGTAAGTGGGGCCATGATTATATGTAAATGGAAATCCAGATTCAGGTCCAGTTTGTAAACCATTTCCTAAAAAGACAGAAAAAAGGTTATCACAAGTTCCATGGACTCAAATCACTTCTCCCTTATTTAAGTTTAGCAACAGGGAATGCACTAAGTTTGCAGCAGCCAACAAGCCCCGAGCACCAGAAGAAAAAGCCCACCTGGCACTGCAAGACAAAACCACAGCTTACCTTTTTCCTCCCAAACTACTTCCCTTCCATCCCTACCCCCTACTCTCAACTAAAGCAAGAAGGGTCACAGCATTGCATACTGATTCTTTGCTCAAGAGAGAGACTGGAGTCTCAAACTAGACTGGTGTTTTCAGAAACATGCACTGTCTTGTAGGTCACACACCAGAGAGACAGCAGGGCAGCAGAAGTCAAGGAGAAACAAGCAAAAGAGAAGCAGGCTATGCAAAGATCTTGCATCATTCCCTGCTACCAGGCACACAGAAACAGAAAGCTGCCTTGTGAATTCCAGCCACAGACCAACCCAGCTAACAGCAAGTTCTCATGAACATGAGTCACTGCTCGTGTTTTGCTGGTAGGGAGAGGGACAGAGCTGAAAAGGGAGAATGATGAAGCCCACCTGGCACTGCAAGACAAAACCACAGCTTACCTTTTTCCTCCCAAACTACTTCCCTTCCATCCCTACCCCCTACTCTCAACTAAAGCAAGAAGGGTCACAGCATTGCATACTGATTCTTTGCTCAAGAGAGAGACTGGAGTCTCAAACTAGACTGGTGTTTTCAGAAACATGCACTGTCTTGTAGGTCACACACCAGAGAGACAGCAGGGCAGCAGAAGTCAAGGAGAAACAAGCAAAAGAGAAGCAGGCTATGCAAAGATCTTGCATCATTCCCTGCTACCAGGCACACAGAAACAGAAAGCTGCCTTGTGAATTCCAGCCACAGACCAACCCAGCTAACAGCAAGTTCTCATGAACATGAGTCACTGCTCGTGTTTTGCTGGTAGGGAGAGGGACAGAGCTGAAAAGGGAGAATGATGGCAGGAAGCATTAGGAGGGAAGGAAGAGACCAAAGGAAATGATTGCATTTAAAGACCACGCAAGAAGCAGGAAGAGAAAAAGTTTCAGAAGATATAGACAAGCTCAGTGAAAACAGATCTGTCCACCACCCAAAGCAGACACCAAGGAAATACCTACATGCTAATTGGGCTGAAAACCTATTTGCTTCACCCTGGCACTGAGGGAAGACTGGTCCCAAAGCACTGCCCTTCTTTGCTCAGAAGCATTTATTTTCAAAGGAACAGAAAGGGCTTGTAAGAGAAATAAAAATCATGTTGCTAAAGAGGCAGCAGGGAGTCACTGAAGCAATGCAGCTTTTCAACAGCAAGTTATGAATCAGTTTGCTGTCATCCACCAGCAGAGCTATGTAACACCAGGTGCTGAGACTGGGCACCATGTAGCCAGGCCATAACTAAGGTTCTCTCTCAGCTTATACCCACTCAGGCCTGAACTATTTTCTTATTGAAGTTTCAATGTTTAAATACATCACAAAATGAGCTAAGCCAGGTCAAATATTGGAATTCAGGCTACTACCACTGCTGTTTTGGGGAGCTAACCTAGTAGGAAAGCCAATTGACTGGCCAGATCAAAACAAGTCATTTTTAAAGGCAAGGTCTTTGGCTGTTTAAAAAACAGAATTTCAAGTGCTGCAAATACTATTTGAAAGCATTAAAACACTTCAGGATTAGTGAAGTACCTTTAAATGATACAGACACCTTAATCTCTTCCTCTACTAGAGAAGAAATTCTGAAACCATTATTCAGGAAATGTTCATTCTTAAGTGCTTGCACTTAAGTCTAAGAGTCTTTAAATTTTAGAGCACAGTACACTTCTGCCCCACAGTGCAGAACCTTTAGCAAGATAAATTTCTTTTTATACCCATTAAATGCTTCTCATCCTTTCACTTCCACAAAATGACAAAACTTACCCAGTGGCCCAAAAGTACAAGAACCCATATTACTTGATGCAGAACTATTATTCTGTTCACCCTGTGCCTTCAGAGAAAAGAAAAAAAAGAACAAGAAAACAAAACACAGATCAGAGAGAGAAATTTTACATTTTTACAAGAAGATACTAATTTTTTTTCTTGTATTCTTATAGTGGGTCCACATGGAATTTATCTGCTACTCTAATTATTGGCTCATTTTCATGTATCACTTCAAGTACATTTTTCCAGAAGAGTCACACCTGATCACAGCCTACTGAGAAGCATTCAGAACAAAGACCACTTTACGCCAGAAGCCACAGATAAGTTTAACATACCAGCTTGTTCTGCCCGATATGTTCTGAGTTGGGCTCACTGAAGTTTGGCACTTCTGAGTATACCATGCAGAACCTGGGGAGAAATCAGGATTATGAGGAACTTCTAAAACTCATCACCTAGAAGCAATTAATCCAGACCCCACTCTTCAGAGAGCATCCATAGGTATTAAAAGGCCCTTTGATCCCTTTATAGGTTTGTAGTGAAGTTGTCACATCTTCCTGTGTGGGTGTTTCAGTCGAGTGGAGGCAAGTACACATTTACTCTAAGAGATAAAATGGTGTAAAGAAAACAAAAGGTGATGAAAGGGCTCCATTTGCCTCCCTTCCAGGTTCACAATCTTGTCCAGCACCCACTCACAAGGTCACTTAAGGACCAGAGTCACCCAGCCTGCTCTCAGACTGTGTCTACATTACATCTTTAGGGAAACCTTCAACACTCCCACATGCTCCCATGCTATAGAATGCTCCATTAACATAATAGCACAGAGGAGTCCAAAACAGGGAATGAAATTCAAAGCACCCTTTTCCATTCAAAGGGAATATGGAACAATAGGCCCACCAACTCACCATATGGAAATTACATCAGGGTGGAAGAAAGATTTGGATTCTTATGTAGCTTGGACTGGTTAAACAGAAGTGGAGCTCCCACCTCCTGCTGGGAGGCACAGCCCAGTTGAAGACACCTCACTCCAGCCTGCTGGAGAGTAAGCCCACTGGATGACACTTCTAAAGCAATGGTTTTGTACCAAAGAAAACTGGCAAGTCACCCCTCACAAAATCTAGCTGAGCATGGGGCATTTTTGAACCATGGAAAAGAGGTGGCCACCCCACCGTCCCACTTCCCTGACAATTACAAGGCCTCCCACAAGGTTTTGTGCAACAGCCAAGTACTGTTCTGGTTAGAAAACGTTGCTAGTTATCCTGCTGCTTGTCAAGTATGTTACTCATGTTTGTTCTTAGTCAGGAGAAGTCACCACCTCAGTTTGTGGGCAGTTTAAAGCAGGTTTAATGAGGCTTGCTTCTGTTTAGATATGATTCACTGAAGCTACCTTTGTCTTCCTTTTTTGCACTGCTTGCCTCTAAAGCATGATACATACATACACACAAGGCTTCCACCAAAATGAAGTGGATATTCAAGCTGAGATTTAGATAAGCAATGCAGACTAAGGCCCCTGTCATTGATAGAATTCAACCTTTAGGTTAAACCCAGATCTGTCATGGAGGCCTATTTTCCCTCAACATACCTATGAATCCAGAGGGTGACAGCTCATTATCACACGTAAAAACTCACACCACAGTTGCCTGTACTGTACCTATCCATCACTATTGACACAGTTTTGCTGTTCTAGCTTCCATTTCCTAAGAGCCACCACATCTTATACTTACCACAGTGCTCTGCTGAAAACAGGACATAACAAGGATAAACATACAATACTTACTCCCCAATTTTGTGCAGCTCACCACCTCGTCCTGTGTAAAGTGTCAGGCATCCTTTCCAGAGAGATGCATATCTGGTCAAAGAAAGCAGCAGTCTCTTAGTGAATGAGAAATACCAGTTTTAAAAGGAAAGCAGAAGCATGTAAAATTCCAAGAATTAATACATATTACGGATTAGCATGGTCTAAAAAAATTCCCAGGGACCCCAACTTCACCACCCTAAAATTTTATAGATCCCCATGTTTTACTTATAGCAAAAGGTACTGGAAACTCAGCTGACTCCTTTGGCAGTTCCAGGAAAGCAGCCAATTATTTTGAGACTGGATGCTGTTTTCCTGGCTGGAGCAGCCCTTATGACTGTTCCTGCAGAGGAAAGGCATTTTGCCAGAAGCAGTATCTGTACTACCATCCACTGACAGCTTTCAGTCCTGCTTTCACCAGGAGCCAGGAATAATTACCTTTGTTCACTGGAGTATTATGGATACTGCTACTGAATGAGTAGCATATGAAGTGCTTACTTTTTTAGTACAGGTCCTTACCAGATGTTTCTTTTTGTAAAGGCACAAGTTTGACCATTACATTCCAAGTGAGGGAGAAATGCAATGAAAACAGTTTCTTGGATGTGGAAACATTGACTTACGAGACAGCATGAGTGCACTCTGGTCTTTATAGTGGTACTTGAATTCAAGCAGTGGAATTTTGAGTTATACAGAACTTTCTGTAGAATTACTCCTTTCAGTGAAGGGCATTGTGCATGTGAAGAAAACAATGAAAACACAGACCAGAAACTGAGGTACAGCACAAGGCAGTTAACAAGAACATGGTTGTCTTCTAGCAAAATAAATAAGGAGCCCCAGCAACTGCACTCTTAGGAGTCACAGATAACCTGGACAAGTCACCACTTCCTTATGCTCTGGGTCTATCTCTGGAACAGAGATAACAAGCCTTGCTCTTGCCCTTTGCCTTATCTCCTGAGGCTGGGAGCCATCCCACAGCTTACAGGGCCTCCAGCAGAGGCACCAGGGAGGAGTCAGGTCAGCAGAACGGGACGATAATGCCAATGCAATGATAACCTGCCCTGTACTTCAGCCCCAGCAGTAAAGCACAGCACCTATCTCAGGAGTTTGCCACCCAGAAGCAGGATTAATGCTCTTCACTTCATATTGTCAATTTTCACTTCACAGATTCCCTCTTGGAAACAGCCAGCTGGACAGTTTTGTGGCAGGGCACAAAAAGGAGCAGCTGAAGACTGACAAATATAAATCAGGCATACATTTACTGAGGTAAGACCTAGCAAATCATAGGTCTAGTAACTTCCAGCACAAAGTTACTCCATGTATGCAAGCATTTATTTTTGTCTCAGGAAGTGCCAGCCATAAAGCACTGAACTCCAGAACCAGCTTTGAATTTAGAAATACTACCTGCAGCAGCTTTCTGTAAGAGTTAATCAGCCAATGACAAGAATCACCAAGTGTCTGCTTTTGCAAAAGAATACACATACAGCCTAAAATTCAACATTAGAAAGAAAGAAGAAACACTTAATTTACATGTGGGGCCTAGCTAAGCTCTTCTAACAGAGAGTGTCCTGCACTGGAAAGCATCAGATTAGCCTATAGAGCTGTTAACAGCAACACCATACACTAAAATCCATCCTATTTAAGTGTAAAACTGTGTTTGGAAAACCTTGTATTGCAGTGTGAGAGCATTTTTTCTTCAGATGAGAGCCAAACCAAAAAGTATTTGGCCACTTCACTCACCTCAGTTGTAAGTGAAGGCATGACTTAGCCACCCACTAGGAATACTTGTGTCAGTTTATTAATATTCAAGCCAAACTCACTTTTTGGCATGAAGGGTTACAACGACCCTCCCCTGTGTTGCACTGGAACACCAGAGCAGCCACAGAAAGCCAGGCTCTGGACACAGCACAGTGACAGTGCTGAACTGTTCATTTGTTTCAATGTCATCCAGGCACAGGGCTTGGTGCTGGCCCTGAGCTCTGGTTTCATTCCACTCATCTCAGCACCCAGCACTCCATGTGCTCCCCACACAAGCAGGTGTCCCCAGAACCAGGACTCCAGCCTATCTGGTGTAAAAGCACATTTGCATAGGAGGAAGCAGTTTTGGTGGCAAGGGTCATCCAGTTTCACTCCAAAAACCATGAAGTGGATCCAGATGAACAACTTAAGAGTAGCTCAGTTAGCAGCTGAGTAACCTTTTACCTACTTTTTCATAAAAACAAATTACCTTACACACACTGTAGCTCCACCACCTCCTGGAGTGCTGAAGGATCAGTGGAATAGATTTCTAAGTGTAACCTGACTGGCATGAAGAACTCAAAATGAAACTGACTGTCAATTTGCACCATTTAAGTGACATGGAAAAGGATGTTAAAATTCAATCCAGCATTCTTTCTCACAGCTAATAAACTAAGTCAGTTTGGTTTTAATCAAACCAGCTCTGAGATAAAGTAACTGAACCTAACCAAACTACCATGCTCTACAGTGTAGCCCGGGCATGAATTTTTAGGAGGAACTGAAAAGGTTCTCCTCCTCTGCCCGTCCTTTCTATTAAACCCACTGCAATGACAAGCAGCTTTTCTGCATGAGAGACATTAATCATCCCCTCCTTTCATTAAGGAGCTGAGTGCTAGAGGAAAGAATTGGCTGTAAAAACAAGAACATGCTTTTTGACTTCCCTGCTTGACTTCCAGACCAGGGCTGACTGTTGCATTTCCCTCCTCCCCCGAAAAAACAAGTATTTTCCTAAGGAGCTTGTTCCCAAGCCAACCCGGGTCTCTCTAACACCACCTCCTCATTAAAAATGCAAGCCCCTCCTGGCCCTCCACGAGATCCCACGTCCGTGCTAGGCATGTTCGGGGCCGGGAAAGGCGGGTTTGCCGCGGGCAGTGACCTCAGGGCGCTGCCTGGGTGTCAGGGCCGGCCCGGCGGGGCCCGCCCGCAGCCCCGCGGGGCAGCGCGGCCCGGAGCGGGGCCGCCCGGCCCCATACGCACCCTTTGGTGAGGCGGGTGGTGGCCCCCCGCCGGGGGGAGGCCGCCGGCCC